TCACTGACTGAGGGAATTAGCACCTAGATCAGTGGCCTTTGTCATCAGTTCTCAGGTTTGGGCACTGTCGACTCCTGCCTTCTAGTATGGGTGAGTTGTGCTGCCTTCCAGGTATGGAGGGTGTAAGCAACAGCGGTAATGATTCAGAATCCAGGCTTGGTGTCAGCCAGGTCTGGGTTGGAATCCCAGATCCACTGTTCACTTCAACTCCCAATTCTTAGCATAGTTCACTGTCTATAAAGTGAAGGCTAGAATATGTACTATCTAAGATTGTTATTTGAATTAAATAACATTCTTGCTTAAATTCATGAATGTAGTAGAATTAGGATTCCATCATGGTTGTAACTGATGTCACAGCAGCACTCTTTCCCTGTTCTACCTAACATATACATTGTTTTCATTTGTTTTGGTTTGTTTGTGCCAGTCCTGAAGCTTGGACTCAAGGCCTTGCATTCTTTTTTTTTTGCGGGGGGGTCCGGTTGTGGGGCCTGAACTCTGGGCCTGGGCGCTGTCCCTCAGCTCTTCAGCTCAAGGCTAGCGCTCCACCACTTGAGCCACAGCACCACTTCTGGCTTTTTTCTTTTTGCTTATGTGATGCTGAGGAAGCGAACCCAGGGCCTCATGCATGCAAGGCAAGCGCTCTACCACTGAGCCACATTCCCAGCCCAAGGCCTTGCATTCTTACTAGATTTTTCTGCTCAAGGCTGGTGCTCTACCACTTGAGCCACTCCTCCACTTTTTTATTTTCTGAGGTGATATGAGTCTTGGGTTTGTCTTGGAGATAAGGGTCTTGTCTACCTTGGTAGCTTCAAACTGTGATCCTCATAACTCAGCCTTCTGAGTAGCTGGGATTATAGGCATAAGCCACCAATGCTTGGTATTATTTATTTTTAGTATATAGTTTTTATTGTAAAGATACTATACAGAGGGGTTACAGTTCCATGAGTAAGGTAATGTGTACATTTCCTATTGAGTATTGTTACCTCCTCCTTTGTTTTTCCCCTACCATCCCTTCCCACCCCACCTCCCCAACTCCTCCCTCCCTCTCCCCTATAAGTTGTAAAGGTCGTTTTCAACATAATGTCCTGTACATCTCGTTGTTACAATGGGTCAACCTGTATCCTTATTTCAGCATTTTATTATTTCCTTTCCCCTCCCCAAATTAGAGAAATGTATAAACAAGATGCAGGGGACTGGAATCAAATATAGTGAAATAAGGTGAGATACCATGGAGGAAGACCATACAAATTGGTATTATTTTTTTAAAGATATGTTACAAGTTTAATCTTCCTTTAATAACCCAAGAGTTATTTTATGGAAAGTTTTTATACATTGATGAAGAAAGGCATTCTGTGGTTTTGCATTGCTACTTTCTTTGTAATTTGTAAATTTGTTAATGTATTTCAGTGCTCCACCATATATATTGGGGTGAGTATGTATACAGACCACTGTAATTTCTTCTTGTGGATCACTCCACTTTCTTTGTCTCTTCTTAATACTTTTAATGAATATTCTGTTTTATCAGATAACAGTATGGCGAATCCTGCTTTCTGGTAGGATGCATTTGCTTGAAAAAATGTTTCAATCTTTTCACTCAGAATCTATGTTTTTCTTTGACTATGAGATGTGTTTCTTGGAGATAACAAATGGTTAGATCTTTTTTTGTGTTTTTGTTTTTTAAATCTAGTCTGTTGTTCTATGTCTTTTGACTGGGAAATGAACCTGTTGATGTTTAATATTATTATGGAGAAATATGCTCATGTTTCCTACCATTTTATTGTTTTCCTGTAGTTTGCTTCATTAAAATAATCCTCTAGTGATTTTTATTCATTTCCATTCTTTTCCTTTTCCTTTGTTTGTCTTCTTCAGATAGTATACTTCCCTTTAGTATCTTTTGTAGTGTTGGTGGTTTGTGTCTATAAATTCTATTAGCTTTTGGTTATTATGGAAGATTTTAGTTTCCCCATCAATTGTGAAAATTAGCTTTGCTGGGTATACAATTTAGGTTGGTAATTGTTGCCAACCAGAGAATGAATTATACCACTCCAGGCTCTCCTGGCATTCAAAGTTTGTGTGACAAAATCTATAGTTATTCTAGTTTTCTTTCCACCGTGATAAAGTTCTCTATTTGATTTTACTACCTTTAAATTTAATTTTTTGATTTTAAATCCGGAGTTCTCACAATGTGTCTAGGAGTGTTTTCTCTCCAATCCTGTCTACAAGGTGCTCTGTATGCCTGTCAGGTGGGTGAGATCCACTTTCTTGAGCGTAGGGAGGCTTGCTGTTATTATTTTGTTGAATAATTCAAGGTTCTCAATGACTTCAGTTTTGAATTCTTCTCCCTTGCCTGTCTCAATTATGTGTAGATTTGATCATTTGGCTGAATGTTTAAGTTCCTGAGTGTCCCTTTGGTATGTGCTGAGTGATTTTTAATTTTCTTTCCAGTTGGATTCCTCTATCATCAAAGGATAGCATTTGTATTCCTTCTAACTTTTGTAATTTATTGGGTTTTCTCTGTGACCTAACCCATGATTAATTTTGTGTTTGTTTTCTGTGGATTTGAAACTAAAATGTATTCTTTACTATTAGGCTACAAGATTTGTGATGAATCCCGATTACCATATTAACGACTTTGTCTAGGGATCCTACTGCTTTGCCTTTTCTCCCCCATGTTCCCTGAGTTAAATTGAGAGTGGTAAGTGTCACATTACGTTTCTGTGTATTTCTTCTTGAATTATCAGCAGTTTCTGCTGTAAAGGTTGAAGCTGGGTAATTTGGGATGCCCTCATAACTACTGAATGCTTTTTTAAACTCTGGCTTTCAGTATAAATCAGTCCTTTTTCAACTTATATCAAGATTTTTAGCCTGAATTCTACCTTGTCTTACATCAAGATCAAAAGCAATACTTTTTGTTAGATTTTCTTTGCCTTATATGTTTTTTTTTTTGCCCGTCTCTATATAGTTCACCTTTCAAAATTACATTGTATTGGCCGTGTCTCTAGTGTTTGTGGTTTGAAGATTTTTACCTTTTGACTGGCATGCTATATATTCTGCCTAGCACATAACTAGAATTCCATAAAAATGTTTTTTCTTTTTTTTTTTTCTTCTTTTCTTTTCCTTCACCAGGGGCAATCTCCAGAATCTCAATTTCCTTGTTACCTGTTGTCTAGGACAAGTCTAGACCTGAAGTCTCCTTCTGAGCCATCTGGCTTAGTTGGATCCTCAGTTTCGATTATGCCCTGCTTGTTCTCATACCTTTTCCCAGGTGACAGACCCCGCAGATCTGCATCAGTGGTGGGAACGTTTAAACCCCATTCTCTACCGGCTTGACACTCAGTATGAACTTTCCAACATTCCAGTATTTCCAAAAATAGTCTTCAAAATATAGTTGAAAGGCAGAAAATAGGATTTTTATGTGAATTTTCCCAAGTACTCCATAAAGAAACTAATTTGAATTCTGTCAAATACTACTTAGACCATCACAAAAAAAAATCTATGGGGTGGATGTACCCGAGGCCTGCTCTTTTGCAGTCTCTGAACTAAATGTATTAGAATAAAGATGAGCACAGGATAAGCACTCGACCTATTGTGAATTCATCACGTCTAAGACCTTGACATCAAAGTCTTGGGGGGGGGGGGGAGACTGTCTTCATTTGGTAGGTAAGAGTCTGGGGAAGAGCAAACCAAGAGTAACCAGAGTAACCAAAACACCAAATACAGACTGAGGAAATTAGCAGGAATAGGATCATGGAAGGTTTCTGCATCCTCATTCTGCCTGCACTGATTCCTGTCTCTCTACTTGCCCACCATCAAATGAACAGCCAATCCCTGTGAAGATCTAACTCACACAGGAGGGAGGGAGGGATTGGGGAGCTAGGCAGTGAGATCCTACAGCTGACTGGAGCCGACAGGAAAGCCTAGCGACTTTCTTTGAATGAATGTATGGGGATCAGAACAACAAAAAGACAGTGAGCTAGGAGCCAGGAGTCAGCTTTCTCTCTGTCCCCTGTGTCTTTGGCTTTTCCCCATCAGTTACTCTGAACCTAGCCAAGTATTTCTTACTCAAGTGGGTTGCAGCTGTCCAACACATGTTCTAAATAAGAGCCAATAGAGCTGTTTCTATTTTTAACATTTTAATATGGATGCAAAGGTCACTAAGATTCCTTGTGTGCTGGTTCAGTTCTTCACTCTCTTGACTTCCTAGCTCTTATTTTTCTCCAAATTACATACATACATATATATGTATATATAATTGGTATCTACATATATGTGTACATTATATGTATGCAGACTGTATATGTGTATATGCATAATCACATGCACATGTGTGTGTGTGTTAAGATGAAGTAAAATGAGATATTTGGGTAAAAAAGGACCCTAATCATTTATTCCCTTTGGGCTAGTCTTTAACTGCTATGGATTGGACAATCTACCCATCCTATGATATGCAGTGACCTTGGGAAACTGCACTCCAGGCTTGGACTGAAGCCATTCCATTTATCTTTTAAGCATAGAGAAAGATTTGGAATAGCAAACTGCTTTAGAATTTCTCTCCTTTAATCCATCATGTTCACATCTGAGAGCCTTGAGGCTGAGACAGGCAGACTTGCTTTTTACTGATTCCCATGAATAATAAATACTGCTGTAGTATGTCTCCATAAGAGGTTCCACATGGATGTTGTATCTGATCCTCACAACCTCATAACTGTTTCAAGTATTCCCATCAAACAGATGGTAAGACTGAGGTATGGTATTTGAGACACCTGCCTGATGTCATTGATTGCCAAGACGGACACTGAGGAACTGACTGTAATTCTTCCACTCTTGCCAGACCTGTTGTCAGTATGCATATTCTTCAATCATAAACTCTCCCTTCCCTCTTTATGCTATGCTTTCGGAACCATGTAAGTGTGCAGAATGCAAGCACAACTGGGCAATAACCACCGTTAGCCTCAGAGGTCAGGAGCCACTGAGTGATATCGAGTTCTCTTGTTTCTTACCTGTTCTCAGGGTCAGCCAAGGTCATGCTCCGAGTGACATAGCACATTTTCAGGGGGATGTTTTTCCGGTCTCTATGGAAGGAGAATGGTTGGGATGACAGAGGGTCTGATGAGCCACCGCCTAGCCGAGGGGATTCCGGTGGAGGTGTTTCCCACCCAATCTCTGATACTGGGGATCCTTTCTTCACATAGGGTGTGGCTTCTCTCATGTACTTCACTGCAAACAAGAAGCACAATGAGAGGTATTTAAAAGCTGACTTTATGGAAAGTTTGAATGTATGTTTGACATAAACTTCTATTGGACAAACTCTTATTTTTTCTCTTGAACTCAGGCAGGGCCTGGGCACCGTCCCTGAGCCTGCCTGTACTCAAGACTAGCACTCTACCACTTGAGCCACAGTGCCAACTTCTGGGTTTTTCTGTTTATGTAGTACTAAAGCTTCAGATATGGTAGGCAAGCACTTTACCACTAAGCCACATTCCCAACCCTTGGACAAACTCTTTCTATTGAACTGCCTATTTCTGACCAAGATTGAGAATTTCTGTCCCCATCCGCATCATTATCCTAATTCTTAAATTATAGGTGCAGTTGGGTCTTAGAATTTTTTGGTACAATGTTCCGCAATTGAGAATTGCTCCTACCATTTTTTTTCCAATGGGGACAATGTCTATCTTTTCTTCCTCGAAATTAAAAAAAATAGGGGCTAGGAAGGTGGCTCAGTGGTAGAGCGCTTGCCTTGCATGCTTGAGGCCCTGGGTTCGATTCCTCAGCACCACACAAGCAGAAAAAAAAAAAGCTGGAGGTGGTGCTATGGCTTAAGTGGTAGAGTGCTAGCCTTGAGCCCAGGCCCAGAGTTCAGGCCCCATGACCGGACCCCCCCCAAAAAATATATATATATTTATCTTTAAGTAGTTATAGAAAGCACTTGTCATCCAATAGAGTAACATATGAATTCAGTACATCTTGATCAATATCTCCCCTTTCATCATTCTTCCCTACTGCTCACAATCCTTCCCCTTCCCTCAATTTTCTTAATTTTATAGCACATGCACTGTATTTTATGACCGCATTCCCCATCTCCTCTTGTCATTCATCTAACTCTCTCAATGTCTAGCTTTCTGATAATAAGTCACATTCTGAGAATAAAAGGCTGAACACAAAGAGGGAAAGAGTTAAAAGGCACAAATTTGGGCTATCAGTCTTATTATTTAATGTAGATGACAGGAATACGGGAGGCACATTCATGTCTGTAGTAGTGAAAAATTATAGTAGCAAAAATGTTTTTGAGGATTAACAACTAGAAAAATAGTGGGTTAAATAGTGCATAAGGCATATTTATAATCATTAAAAAGTGAGATGGATGTAGATGTGTCAGTGTAGACAGACCAGTAGGATCTGTTATTAGTAGAAATATAAAGTAGAAATCAGTATGTGACATGCCCAGGCATGTTTATCTACAATTACCTCTATGCAAACATACAAGAAAACAGACCTAAGTTGATCTATGTAGTAGAAATAAAAGCCCAGATAATAAAGAAATAGGCTTTGGTTACTTATTTGCTAGTCTAATATAGACTTTCCATATTTAGCCACATGTATCTTACTTTCATAAAATTAAAAAAAATTAACTTAAAAGACCAAGTATAACAGATTTTTGAAATGTTTGCCTTGGTATTAAGAAGTTATTTGTCCATTTTGAATCTGAGCATTTAGTACTTTGCGTTGGAATTAAAGAGGAGATTGATTCTTGCAACATGCAATATGAATTTAAAAGTCTTTGTCCACATCACACCCTGTTCCCTACCCCACTAGTTTGTATGTGAGGAACAAAGTCCTTCAGAAATCCATTACTATAAATGGCAGTGGGCTGGAATGAGAGCAAACTAGGGGGGCATTTCTTCCAGGTCTTCAATGAGTCAGTTCACAGCCTCTCCACTGTGTAAAACCTGGAATCAGGTAAAGGGAGACTATAGAGATGAACAATATTTAGTTTCCATATGCGGAACTTACAACACCAAGGATGATTGTAGTAGATGCTGCTGGTGTCTCTTCTGGATCCCCTGTCTTTTATATCCCAGCTGCTCTGTATTGACTGAGAATGGCCCATTTCTGCTCCCCTACCCTGTGGAGCTGATCTTGGCCCAACAGAGGCTACCAAACTTTGGAGGCTGCAGAATTGCTACCTGACCCTGCAGCAGAATCGCTGCTTCTAAGATATCCACATATGACGGAACGTAGGACTAGACCACAAACTATGGCAAAAAAAAGTAGAATGAGCTAAGTTTTATGGTAGGAATAGAGTACTTTGAAAGAACTCATGATAAATATAGGTCCAGGAGCATAAGTAGACAGATTAGTTCACAGTACATAATGAACAAGTCAGGTATGATCAGAGGCATATGATATCTATGTATATTATATTGGGCAACCCAATTACATAATATCAAAATCAGCCATATTGCTACAAGGCACAGAGAAGTTATTTAGCACTGACAGATACTTTCAAAGAGAATGTTAGATTCTAAGAGAATATAAGCACAATTAGGAGGATTGTATAGCTTTATTGTTGCCCCAAACCTGATAGCAAAGGTTACAGTTATATAAGGAGGAAGATGATTCACCATCTGTGAATCTTAAGGAAGGTTGTTATTTCTAGTTATGTAAAGAGTAGTATAGACAGACTTGAGAACAATGAAGAGAATTCAGTGGGACAGAATTAAGCTGTACAAAGACGAAATCAATAGGCCCCTTTTGAAGGGATTGATTTTTTTAAAAAAAATCTTCAAAACTGTGTCAGTAGAAACTAGAATACTGCTTAGCTTTGTATATTGTATTTACTGATGCATAGGAAATTTAAGCATCATCTGAGATTCATTTTTAGATTTTCCCTAAATTGCATTATTTATAACTCTGTGGCTGGAGTATGAGAGGCGTGTTTCAGGAGTGAGAATTAGGGACAATTCATGGCATAAGTGATCATAAAAATTTGGCTTTAAAGGGTAAATAGGACTTTACAAAGTAGGAATAAAAATGACAGGGCTGGGAAGGTGGCTCAGTGGTAGAGTGCTTGCCTTGTATGCATGAGGCCCTGGGTTCGAATCCTCAGTACCACATATAAGCAGAAAAAGCCAGAAGTGGTGCTGTGGCTCAAGTGGTAGAGTGCTAGCTTTTAGCCGAAGAGCTGAGGGACAGTGCTCAGACCCTGAGTTCAGACCCCCATGACCAACAACAGCAAAAAAGTAACAGCCTCTCTTTTATATATAGTTGTATTCTGATTACTAATTTTTTTTACTTTTATCTGCTATATTGTTGTATTAGTTTATTCATACACACATACAAAATACAGATATAACCATGTGTAGTATAAAGACCCAGTCAGTCTGCAAGAAAATATTTTAATAGGAATTCTGATTACTAATTTTGTTTGCAATTCCAAAGGAAAGAAAAAAACAGATGTCAAACTAGCAAGGAGATAAAGATATACTTCAAACATGTGCTAACTTAATTTTGAACCAAGGTCTTTAAATATGTCTTCACATATTTAAACTTCATAATTTTCACTGAAGGCCTTGCATTATATTGCATAAGAAAATTAAGGTCTAGAGAAGAAACTCCAACATAATTATCATTTCTTGTCTATATTCCCATAAATAAAAATAAGACTATGTTGTTACCCTTTTCAGAAAGGCCTTGTAAGGGCTGTTGTACTTTGGCCCAACACTATGGACTTTATAAAGTTGTTCCTTGGAGTTAGTATTATTGTACGCATGGTGCTAGCAAGTTTATCTTCTTTTTAATTGTGAAAATACTGTACAGAGGGGTTACAATTACATGAGCAAGGTGCACATTTATCTTACATGTACTTTCATGGATAGTTTGATCTGCCAGCAAAAGCTTGAGAGGATTTTCTATAGACTATTTTTTAAGAAGTGACCTAACATCTTGGCAAAACAAATAAACAAAAATCAGAGGATCTAGCAATAAAAACACAAGCAGAATTGAAATGTCGATAACATTTGATTCTATAGAAGAGATTAGTAAATTATAGGTTAGAAATGTATTACAACAATTCAAGATGATGGCAATTATGGAGTAGAGACAGAAAGATATGAATGATGCAAAGAGAAGGGTTTATATATGTTTATCTATAGACCTAGAAGAGTAGAGAGAATGGGAAACGCCTCAACATTCTCCTCAAGCAAACATACCAAGGAACTTTGGTTTTGCTGAACAATGCCTCTGAATTTCATCATCAAGACAAATAGAAATGTGTATTTTCTTATTTGTACTTTGAATAAGTTATAGAGTATATAGAACTTACGTTTCTTCTGAGATCTTTAACTATCACTATGGTTTTCAGTAGTGTTGTGGGGAAATCTCAGCAAAATCCCTAAATGAGTCTTGAGATTTCTTGCAGAGAAACAAGTTTTCCATTTCAAAGAAACAAAAAAGGCAAGGAGATGATCACTACAGTGCTTAAGAAAGACAGCCAGGGTCCTGGGACTTCTTTCCTATGTCTGTCTGGAGTAAGGATAAGTAACAACACAGCCCTGCTTAAGGCCCCTTTGTTCACGACTCTGCTTCCTTCTGATTGGTGGAGAAAATGGAGAAACTTGTTCTTGTGTATAACAAAGAGAAAGAAAATCACCATCAGATTTCTCTAAGGGTGTGTGATTTCTGGTCCTGAGGAAGTAATGAGATTATGACTGGCACATCCTGCTGGAAGAAACTCCACATAATTTCTGCAAGGCTTGGCTATCAGGTATAAGTGTAAGTCTGTGATCCAGCACTCTCAAGTCCTCTCTGACTCCTGATTAAAGCCAGAGGCTGAGTACCTTCAGTCAGAGAGCAAGGCTGAGTACCTTCAGTCAGAGAGCGAGATTGAGGCAGCCATGAATTGGAGTTGTAAAGCAGTGGCTTTTTTCTATTTTTTTCTTTTTTTAAAATTGTGGCTCATGGGGCTGGGAAGGTGGCTCAGTGGTAGAGCGCTTGCCTTGCATGCCTGAGGCCCTGAGTTCGATTCCTCAGCACCACATAAGCAAAAAGAAAAAGTCCGAAGTGGCACTATGGCTCAAGTGGTAGAGCGCTAGCCTTGAGCTGAAGAGCTGAGGGACAGCACCCAGACCCAGAGTTCAGGCCCCATGACTGGACCCAAAAAAAAAATTGTGGCTCATGAGGCCTGAACCCAGGGCCTGGGTGCTGTCCCTGAGTTTTTT